TCTTCAATTAATTTTTTGTCTTTTTCGTTTTTTGGATTTAAAAGTCTCCACTCGTGATATTCAAAAGAAGGATGTTCTTCCATTTCCCGCGGGATTTGCTGCCCCCTAAACAGCCACACGCCCTCAATATCAAACCCCCCCTCCTCCCCCTGCTGCTGCTGCTGCTGCTGCTGCTGCTGCTGCTGCTGCTGCTGCTGCTGCTGCTGCTGCGGCTGCTGCTGCAGCACGTCGAGGACTGCGAAGGCGTGGCGGCGCATGCAAGGGTCCACTCTTTGGAGGAATCCTCCGAGTTGGTTGGAAGTTAAAAAAGATATTTTGCATTCATCTTTTAATTTTAAATATTTCATAAAATAAAAACAAAACCCCGAAAAGTCCAAGTGCTGCCAGAGCCAGGGGAGTGCAGCGCCGCGCAGGTCTTTGCTGTTGCTGTAGACTCTTTTCCACTCATTTAGGTCCATGCTGCTCGCCGGCAGCAGGTCTAGCGCGCATTTGCTGCTGCTGCTGCTGCTGCTGCTGCTGCTGCTGCTGCTGCTGCTGCTGCTGCTCGCTGCGGGCGTTCGAACGGGCGCCGCAGCGCCGCTGGGCGCCGCGGGCTTCCCGCTGCTGCTGCTGCTGCTGCTGCTGCTGCTGCTGCTGCTGAGGGCGCTGCAGGCAGCAGCCATGGCCTTGAAGGCGGGCTGGTTGACCAGCAGCTGCAGCCAGCGGCGCAGGTGCGGCAGCTGCTGCTGCTGCTGCAGCAGCTGCTGCAGCTGCTGCTGCTGCGGCGCGCGAGCCGCCTGCTGCTGCAGATAAACCACTGCAGCAGCAACACAGATGTCTGCTGCTGTTATCCGCTGCCCCACAAGCACAGTGCGCAGCTGCAGGTGTCTGTCCACTGCAGCAAGCGCAGCAGCCACGTCCGCAGCAGCCCGCTGCTGCTGCTGCTGCTGCTGCTGCTGCTGCTGCTGCTGCTGCTGCTGCAGCGCAGCAAGCGGCACCTCGATCTCGCGAGCAGCAGCTTCCAACCAGGCAGCAACTTGGGACTGCAGCAGCAAACTCTCCCCCCCCAAGTGAGTCTCTTGGTGCAAAAGAGATAAATAAATGCAAATGGAATTACTTCCAAATATTAATTCCCCTTCTGCTGTCTCCAGACACGGCCAACGCCCAAACGGAGACACCTCCGTCTTCCCTGCAGCAGCAGCAGCAGCAGCAGCAGCAGCAGCAGCAGCAGCAGCGCAGCAGCAGCAGGTTTTGCTGTGGTTTTCTTTTGCTGTTGGTGTTGATTACTCGAATTAATTAATTAATTGTTTTATTTATTTATTTATTTATTTATTTATTTATTAAAAAAGTAATTAATTAATTATTTATTTGTTGTTTAATTAATTCTTTTTATTTTCATTTTTGATTAGTCTTGCGAATTCAGAATGCAGTTTCTTTTGAACAAACAAAACCTCAACCCAACTAATCCCATCATTTAAATCCATTTAATTAATTTAATTTAATTAAATTAATTTAATTAAATTAATTTAATTAATTAAATTAATTTAATTAATTTAATTTAATTAATTTAATTTAATTAAATTAATTTAATTACCTTTTTCGAAGTCGGGATGTTCTAGAGTAATCCCCGCAAAGGCGGCGACCAGCCGAATCTTTTTGGCCGCGAATTCATCTTTGGGGCAAAACAGCTTCTGCACACAAACCCTAAACCCTAAACCCTAAACCCTAAACCCTAAACCCTAATAAATGGGAGTTAAAAGGAGAGAGAAGGGGGAAGAAAAAGGGAGAAAAAAGAAAAGTTGAATTTGAACGAGCACTTGAGGTGTCTGTACACCCCAACGCCCCAGGGGGAAGCTGCGGTGTATAGGCAGCTCCGGGCGTCTTTGCGCTCATTAAGCGGAGGTTTTGGAAGAAATAAAAAAAATAAATAAATTAAAAAGAATATAAACCCTAATTTAGGGTTTTGTTGGCTCGAAGGGAGAAGAACTGGGAGCGGGAGGCGGCGAAACCCCCGAGGCGAAAACCCGCGAAAAACTTCTTTCATTCTTCTTTAATGAAATTTAAAAATTAAAAATATTTAAAAATTACAAAAAGACAAAAGCCCACACAGAGACATTTGCGGGATTGCTGCAAATAAAAGGGTTTAGGGTTTAGGGTTTAGGGTTTGGCATGCAGCCGAGGGCTTAGGGTTTAGGGTTTAGGGTTTAGGGTTTGGGGTTTCCGGGCCTCACCATTTTCGCAAGAGCAAAACAAAAAACAAACCTAGGGTTTTAAATTCGCCGTCTGAAGTTGTTGCACTGAGCCAAACCCTAAACCCTAAACCCTAAACCCTAAACCCTAAACCCTAGACTGTGCGGGTGCGGCGCTGCAGCCCCACAGCGAGACAGCGCGAGCGCTGCAGCGGCAGCAGCAGCAGCAGCAGCAGCAGCAGCAGCAGCAGCAGCAGCAGCAGCGGGAGTTTGAATAAATTAATTTATTTAACAAATTTAATTTAATTTATTTTATTTTTTCATTTAATTTATCTTCTTTTAATCAAACTAATTAATTTAACTCAACTTCCAAACCCCCGAGCAGCAAAACACTGCAGCAGCAGCTCCCCCTCTGCTGGCTAGCTAGCCACGGCCAACTTTAATGGCTAGCTAGCTAGCCACAGCTAGCTGGGGTGGCTAGCTGACTGGCTAGCTAGCTGCAGCTAGCTGCAGGGGCTCGCTGGCTAGCCACGGCTAGCTGGCTGGACTGGCTAGCTAGCTAGCTAGCTGCAGCGGGTGGATAGACAAGTAAAGACAAACGGGGTAAGTGGCTAGCTAGCCATGGCTAGCTAGCCGCTGCAGCTAGCTAGGGCTAGCTGCAGGGGCTAGCTGCAGTGGCTAGCTGCAGTGGCTAGCTAGCCAGTTAAGGCTAGCTTGGAGGCTGGCTAGCCAGTTCCAGCTAGCTGCAGTGGCTAGCTAGCTAGCTAGCTGGCTAGCTAGCTAGCTAGCTAGCTGCAGCTAGCTGGGGTGGCTAGCTACAGCTAGCTGCAGTGGTTAGCGAGAGCTCGCTGTATTGCTCCGCCGTATATGTATATGTGAAACCCTAAACCCTAAACCCCCAGCAGAAGACATCTTAAACCCTAAACCCTAAACCCTAAACCCTAAACCCTAAACTCTAAGCCGCCGCTGCAGCTAGCTGCAGTTAGCTAGCTAGCTGCAGCACGCCTCTTCCCACTTCTTCTAAGCTCAGCGTTTTTAGTACTGCCGGTTCCTAGCAGCAGCCCAGCTAAACCCTAAACCCTAAACCCTAAACCCTAAACCCTAAACCCTAAACCCTAAATCCAGCAGTGAAGAGTAGAACAGCTCCCCTCGAGCTTCGTGACTCTTGGTGAAGATTTATTCTCCTTCTCCTTCTCTCTATCCGTCCTCTTGTCTTCCCTAGGGTTTAGGGTTTAGGGTTTAGGGTTTAGGGTTTAGGGTTTAGGGTTTAGGGTTTAGGGTTTGCAAGAGGGCCCCACGAGTCCCGACTGGCATTATTATCTCAAATACTTCCGCAAGTTGCAAAACAGCAAAATTCCATTTTCCTGTTTTACCTTCCAGTCAAAATAAAAATAAATAAATAAATAAATAAATAAATAAATAAATAAATAAATAAATAAATAAATAAATAAATAAATAAATAATGAATTAATTGGCAGATTTAAAATCAAAGAAGAGCCGAAGTTAAGAGTTTAAGCCGAAGGCTGAATGGGTGAAGTGGCGCTGCGAAGAAAGGCATGCAGCTGACGGACTGTGGCCTTATGACCATTTAAAAGAAAGGAAATTTGAAAACAAAGAAGAAAATAAAATCAAAAATGAAAATAAATGAAAATAAATGAAAATAAAATGAAATAAATGAATTTGAAGACATTCGCTGGAACGCGCGGTGTAAGCTGGGGTGTATGTACACCTCAACTCGACTCCGCCGCCGCCGCCGCGCCCGCGCCAGACAACGCCGGGGCTTCACTTTTGCAATTCTTTGAAAGTTTTATTCAATTTTAAGAATTAATTTCGTTTTTATTTCCATTTTGGCTTCCAAAAAAGCTCCATTTCTCCCGAAATCCCCCGCTGCTGCCGCTGCTGCTCGCCGCTGCTGCAGCTGCCGCGTCCGCAGCAGCAGTTCTGCAACACCAACGAAAATGGAAAAGGCCCCTTGCGAACAGGGAGCTGCAGCAGCAGCAGCAGCAGCAGCAGCAGCAGGAGCAGCAGCAGGAGCAGCAGCAGGAGCAGCAGCAGCAGATTTAGACCTGGAGTGAGTGCACACACCGCTTTCTAGCTTCCGTTGCTTCCACAAAGAATCTAGCTGCTGCTGTGTTGCTGCTGCTGCTGCTGCTGCTGCGCTTGCTGCACTCTTGCTGCTCCTGGTTGCTGCTGCTGCTGCTACTCCTGCTGCTGCTGCTCGTGCTGCTGCTGCACTCCAGTGGCTGCTGCTGCTCCTGCTGCACTCCTGTCGCTGCTGCTGCTCCTGCTGCACTCCTGCTGCTGGTTCTCCCGCTGCTGCTCCTGCTGCCCTCTTGCTCCTGCTGCTCCTGCTGCTCCTCCTGCACTCCTGCTGCTGCTGCTGCACTCCTGCTGCTGCTGCTGCTGCTGCTGCTGCAGCACGAAGGGCCTGCCGCACATGACTCTGGAGGCTTTGAAAAGCTGCGACGGCGAAAAGAGCGAAAAGCTTTTTGTGGCAGTTAAGGGCCTCGTTTTTGACGTTAGTGTTAATGGCAGAAGTTTTTATGGCAAAGATGGCAAGTTTTTAATTAATTTTAATTAATTTTAATTAATTTTAATTGATTTTAATGGATTTTAATTGCTTTTAATGGATTTTAATTGCTTTTATTTGTTTGTTTATTTAATTCCTTTATTACTGGGCTTTTTTGCTTCAAAGGATATGCTTTTGATGTCAGTGTTAATGGCAGAAGTTTTTATGACAGAAATGGCAAGTTTTTAATTAATTTTAATTGTTTTTAATTGCTTTTAATTGTTTTTAATTGCTTTTAATGGATTTAAATTGCTTTTATTTGTTTTTAATTTATTTATTGTTTTTTATTTCGTTAATTCCTTTATTTTAATGTATTTTCTGTATTTTGTTTCTTGGGACTTGTCTTTGATGCTAGTGTGGTATTAATGGCAAAAATGGCAAATTGTTTATTTATTTATTTGCTTTAATTGTTTTTAATTATTTGATTAACTTATTTATATTTATTTGCTCTTATTTATTTATATTTATTATTTATTATTTATAGTTATTAATATTTGTTATCTTTTTTCATATTAATTGATTAACTAACTTATCTATATATTGTTTATTTATTATTTAGTCACATTTATTTATTTGTTTATTTATTTGCATTTATTTATTATTTATTTATATTATTTATTTATATTTATTATTTATTATTTATATTTATTAATATTTGTTATCTTTTTTATATTAATTGATTAATTGATTAACTAACTTATTAATTGACTTTTTTTTTGCATTTATTTGTTTGTTTATTTGTTTGCATTTATTTATTCGCATTTATTCATCTAAATTTTTATTTATTTATGTGTATTTATATTTATTTATTATTTATTTATTTATTTATATTTATTTATTTATTTATTCATTATTTATTATTTATTTATTTATTTATTTATTATTTATTATTTATTTATTTATTTATTATTTATTTCTGTTTAGGTTCTTACCACATCTTTGCTGGGAAAGACGCGACTGTGGCTTTGGCCCGAATGTCTTTTGACGAGAAGCTTTTAAATTCTGTAAATAAATAAATAAATAAAATAAATTAATTAAAATAAATAAATAAATATAAATATAAATAAATAAATATAAATAAAAATAAATAAAAATAAATAAAAAATAAATGAAGAAGTCTTGAGGCTTCGTTCTCTCCTCGTGTCGTTTCCTTTGCGAACGAGCGCCATTAGGGTTTAGGGTTTAGGGCTTGGGGTTTAGGGTTTAGGGTTTAGGGTTTGGGGTTTGGGGTTTAGGGTTTGCGGTGTAGGGTTTAGCGTTTAAGGTGCAGAGTATAGTGTTTGGGGCACAGGCTTTCCCGCTTACGCTTTAGGGTTTAGGGTTTAGGGTTTAGGGTTTAGGGTTTAGGGTTTAGGGTTTAGGGTTTGCGTGTGCAGCCGCCGAGCACTTGGGAGTCTTTGACGGAAAGTGAAAAAGAAAGTTTGCAGTCTTGGCTGCAGCGCTTCAAAAGCAAATATTCTCTTGTTGCAGTTGTGGACTTCGAGGAGAAAAAAGACAATTAGCAGCAGCAGCAGCAGCAGCAGCAGCGGCAGCAGCAGCAGCAGCAGCAGCGGCAGCAGCAGCAGCAGCAGCAGCGGCAGCAGCAGCAGCAGCAGGTGTCGGTTGCGTTTTTCTGCAGCGCAGGAAGCTGTACTTCTGGGCTGATGAATGCCGCGAGCTTCTTGAATTAATTAAATTAATTAAATTAATTAAAGTAAATTAATTTAATTAGGTTAATTAATTTAATTAATTTAATTCAATTTATTGAATTAATTTTAAAGTACTTTGCTGCACTGCTGCTGCAGCAGCAGCAGCAACGGCAGCAGCAAAACGGCAGAGTCTTGGCGCCGCTGCCGCAGCAGGTGCAGCAGCTGCCGCAGCAGCAGTCTTCGCCAAAGCAACCGCAAGAGCAGCAGCAGCAGCAGCAGCAGCAACAGCAGCAGCAGCAGCAGCAGCAACAGCAGCAACAGCAGCAGCAGAAGCAGCAGCAATTGTGGAAAGGCGCATTCACAGATTTTGTACAGAAATATGAATTTGTTTTTAAACTTTGCACTTAGCCACTATTCCCCTGCTGCTGCTGCTGCTGCTGCTGCTGCTGCTGCTTTATTGGAATGCAGCAGCAGCAAGTGCCGCGGCAGCAGAAGCAAAGTGCAGCAGCAGCAGCAGCAGCAGCAAATGCCGCAGCAGCAGCAAAGAAGCAAGGGGAGGCAGCAGCAATGAGTTTCTTTTATTCTTGAGACATCTGGCTTTTTTGATTTACCAAATTTTTGAATTTTTATTTAATTTAATTTAATTTAATTTAATTCATTTTATTTTATTTAAATTATTATTTATTACTGTTGTTGCTTCTTTAAAAGAAATGTATTTTAATTTAATTTTATTTATTTGAATTTCCAAAACGGTGAATATAAATAAAAGGAAAACAAAAACCATTAAATGCGTAGAGAGAAACTTTTCAGCAGCAGCAGCAGCAGCAGCAGCAGCAGCAGCAGCAGCAGCAGCAGCAGCAGCAGCAAAGCAAATTCTAGTTGATATTAGAATGGAAAGTTGCCACCAGCCTCCGCCGCAGCAGCAGTGGCTGCAGCAGCGGCAGCAGCAGCAGTGCTGCAGCAGAAGCAACGCTGCAGCAGCAGCAGCAGCAGCAAAGGTACTGCAGCAGCAACACTGCAGCAGCAGCACACTGCAGCAGCGCGGGTGAATGTTCCTGTGCGGGGGGATTAAAGCTTTGCCGGATATAAAACGAAAAATAAAATGAAAAAAGAAATAAAAGAATAAAAGAAATAAAAATGAATTAAAGAATTAAAGAATTAAATGCTTCAGAGAAGCCCCAAGAGGCCGCAGCTGTCCAGTGGTTTGCCCGGGTGTCTGTACACCCCATTTTAGATCTTCCTCCATTTCTTTTTCTTTTTCTTTTTTACTTTTATTTAAAATTCAACTTTTCAATTTCGCTTCTCACAAAAGCTGCAAATTAACTGCAGCAGCAGCAGCAGCAGCAGCAGCAGCAGCAGCAGCAGAGGCTGGCTGCGGAGCCCTGCAGTCGATGCGGCGCTTCAACTGAAGTCCCAAGGACTTATTGTCTTTTATTATTTGAAATTAAACTTTATTTGACATTTAAAATTCAATTTTAATTTATTTAATTTCGTTTTCGAGGATATACTTCCGAGTGGATCCTGCAGCAGCTTCGGGTGTACGTACACCTCACGCAACCGCAGTGCTCCCGCGAGGCTTCTTTTTGCCTTTTGTCTTCTTCGGCTGTCTCTTCTTCTTTCTTTTCTTTTCCAATCTGCCTTTTTCTATTTTGCCCCTCAAACCCTAAACCCTAAACCCTAAACCCTAAACCCTAAACCCTAAAGCCGAAGGCAGATCCGCAGCCGCCGCCAGCCGAGCCTTGTCCAAATCAGCTCGCCATCTGCACACTCAGGATTTATTTATTTATTTATTTATTTATTTATTTATATTTATATTTATATTTATTTATTTATTTATTTATTTATTTATTTATTTCAATTCAAAAGATGACAGAAGATACGGGAAGAGCAGCTCTGAAGAGAGTCCGCGCGCGGCTCTCTTCTTTGGCTGCTTTCAGATCGTCGGCCATAGCCACCAAAATGTGAGGGTTTAGGGTTTAGGGTTTAAAGTTTAGGGTTTAGGGTTTAGGGTTTAGGGTTGGGCAGGGCTTGGAGTGCTGAGGGTGGGGGGTTTCGAGGGTTTAGGGTTTAGGGTTTGCGCTGTTTATGCTGCAACACAAAGGTTTCGGGTCTAAGTCCTGAGGGCTTAGGGTTTAGGGTTTGAGGTCTCGAGGGTTTAGGGTTTGGAGGCCAGGCTTTCGAGGGTTTGTGGCCGAGGGTTTAGGGTTTTGAGGGCTTGAGCGTGAGAATTTAGGGTGTCGAGGGTTTTAAGAATTTAGGGTTTTCAATTAGGGTTTAGGGTTTAGGGTTTAAGGTGTTGAGAGTGTAGGGTTTACCCTTTGCGCTGCTGAGGGTTTAGGGTTTAGGGTGTTGAGGGTTTCGAGGTTGAGGTCCTGAGGGTTTGCAGCATTTCGGCTCCCGGGTTTAAGCCGTCTAGGGTTTAGGGTTTAGGGTTTAGGGTTTAGGGTTTAGGGTTTAGGGTTTAGGGTGGCCATTTGCCGAATCCAGCTCCCCAAAAACCCCCAAAAAGGCGAAAACAAAGCGGCTTCTTTTCTCCCTTCTTCATTTATTATTTATTTATTTATTTATTTATTTATTTATTTATTTATTTATTTATTTATTTATTTATTTATTTGTTTTATTTATTTTTTATTTTTTGTTTAGAGTGGACCCCCGCGACTACGGCTACGCCGAAGACGCTTTTGTGCGTCGCGATTCGCTGCGGACAAATTTGAATTCGGTGAATAAAAATTAAATAAATAAATTAAAATTAAATAATTAAATTAAAATTAAATAAATAAATTTAAATTAAATAAATAAATTAAAATTAAAAAAAATAAATAAATAATTAATTTCAAATAAATAAATAAATAAATAAGTCTGTTTACTTTTTAAATCGAGAATTTGCAGAAGTTTGATTCTCTCATTTCGCCCCTTTAGAGCATTCCCGCGTCGTTCCAGCCCCTCTAGGGTTTAGGGTTTAGGGTTTAGGGTTTAGGGTTTGCCAGTAGGGTTTAGGGTTTAGGGTTTAGGGTTTAGGGTTTGTGGTTTTCGTTTTCAGATTCTGGATTCTGCGGGCGCGCGGGTGAGGTGTACATACACCTGGGGAAACTCAACAGGCGTTTCCTTCTCCACTTATTCCCTAAACCCTAAACCCTAAACGCTAATTGTAAACCCTAAACCCTAATTGTAAACCCTAAACCCTAAGCCCTAATTGTAAACCCTAAACCCTAAACCCTAATTGTAAACCCCAAACCCTAAAC